GGATTTGAACTGCCAGCCTTCTGGTTAGCAGTCAAGTGCCTTAGCCACTATGCTACCAGAGCTCCAGGATACTCCCCTAAGACAAGGAATTAAAGTTTTCCAGCATTATAGTTAAGGAAGTCTGCTGGCACACAGCTGCTAATTAAAAGATGGGCAATTCGAACCTACCCAGTGGCTCCCAGGGAGAAAGACCCAGCAATCTGCTCCTGTAAAGATTACAGCCAATAAAACCCTAGGGGCAGTTCTACTGTCACTGGAGGCAAAAGACAACTGGACTCATCAGCACCTAACAATAGCAGCATTAAAATTAGCTGGCAGTCAGCATTACCCCTGAATTCCCCATGCATGCTGATATGCTCTCTAGAGTAGGGGCAAGAGGCCTACCTGAATGGCACAAACCCCTGGCCTTTGTCACCTGTGCCTCATGGTGTATTTATTTATTATTTTAAATGCTTATGGAAGGTGTGGGAGCTCTGGTGGTGTAGTGCCTAAGGCATTTGACTGCTAACCAGAAGGCTGGCGGTTCGAACCCACCAGCCACTCCTCGGAAGGAAGATTGGGCTTCTGTAGAGATACCACCTGGGAAACCCAAGGAGGGGTCGCTATGAGTCAAATTGGCTTGATGGCAGTGAGTTTGGTTTTTTGGTATGGAAGGCATACTATGTGCCAGCTACTATTCTAAAGACTCTACAAACATTAACTCATTTAATACAATAACCCTATAAGGTAAGTTCTATTATTTATCCCCATTTTACAGATGAGAAAACTGAGGCACAGAGAGGTTAAGTAACTTATCCAAATATGCCCAGCTGTAAGTGGAAGAGCCAAGATTCAACCAGGGCACCCCAGCTCCCAGAATCTGACCAAGGTTTATGCTTTGGTGTCTCCTCCCAAGTGGTCCTTGACTGTCATCAGTCTTGTGAGTTGTGCTGGAGAATGGAGTTTGGAGGATGTGAAAGGAACCCGAGAAAGTAGGCTCCAGCCCCAGCTGGTTGACTTTAGGCAACTCAGCCCCTGCGTCTGGGCCTCAGCTTCCTCATCTGTACGATGGGCATGACAGGTCCTGTGGAACCCTGCTCTCACGGTGCTGGCCACACTGCCAACTGCAAAGGGCACACTCAGACCAATCCCGGGGGGGAAAGCGGTAAACCCAAAGCTGGCCGTCCCACCCGCTCCCCTCCCAACCCACCTAGGCAATGACTACATTGTCCCCCGGCACTGCCCGGAGCTGGCGGAGATGAGCCGCGTGTCCGTGCGCATCCTGGATGAGCTGGTGTTGCCCTTCCAGGAACTGCAGATCGACGACAATGAGTACGCCTGCCTCAAAGCCATCATCTTCTTCGACCCAGGTACAGCCCACACCTCCCCACTGCAGCCCTCTGTCAGACTTCCCTTGCTGGGTTACAGACTCGAGTTCACAACCTCTTTTCCTTACTGAAAGCCAGGAGAGGTTGTTTTCATCAGCACCATTCGGCAGATGAGGACCGCTGAGGCACACAGACTCCAAAGGCCTGGTTTTATTCTTTTGCTCCCTCCCTCCCTCCCTTCTTCCTCCCTCCTCACCTCTCTTTCTCTCTCTCCTATTTGCCCCCTTTCTCTCATCTTTTCTTGAAAAACGTTGACCAAAATAATATCTACGTTGTTGTTGTTGTTGTTTGCCATCGAGTCGGCCCCGACTCATAGCGACCCCTCCTTGGGTTTCCGAGGCAGTATCACTACGGAAGTAGGAATGCCCAACCTTCCTTCCGAGGAGTGGCTGGTGGGTTTGAACCGCCAGCCTTCTGGTTAGCAGTCAAGTGCCTTAGCCACTATGCTACCAGAGCTCCTAAATAATATCTACACATGGTTAAAAATGCAAACAGTCCTTCCTGTCCCACTTTTCCAGCCCAAAACCTCTTCCCCAAGGGGAACTACTTCTAATTTTTTCAACTATTTTCCAGCAGTTACCACTTTAGCTCTAAACAAAATGCTAAGCCATTTTTTTCTTCCATTTTAGATAGTATTTCCACCTTTGATAACTAAGGATTCCATTCTCTCACCGTGCCCTTCTTTCCTCCCCTACTCTTCCGATATATTTTAATGTCTCTGTTGATTGCCTTTGTAACCTTAGTCATGCACTTATGCTTTTATTTCTTGTCCTATCCTCTGAAGACCTTATCACCTAACACCTCGCTTAGTAGGATGACGATACTACATCCCTAGCTCTCCTTCCAGCTCTTGACTCCTTCTCCCTGTTCCATCTGACTTTGGTCTTGGGTGTCTTTGAGAATGTAGTCATGGAGTTATGTCTCTGTGCAAAGTCTTACTTCATTTCACAACGTCAAGGTGACTCAGCCCAGGAAGCATGCTTGCTTCCTTTCCTCCATACGTGTTTGAAAGAACTTACTGTGTCCCAGACTCTGTCCTGTGTGCTAGGGCCCTGCCTACAGAGAGCTAATTTCTAGAGATAACGCGAACAGAGGGGAAGATAAAACCAGTTGCCACTGAGTCAGTTCCAACTCGTGGAGACCCCATGTGTGTCACAGTAGGACCGTGCTCCGTGGGGTTTTCAGTGGCTGATTTTTCAGACATAGATCTCTAGGACTATCATCTGAGGTGCCTCTAAGAGGACTTGACTTCCAACCTCTCAGGTAGCAGCTGAGTGTGTTAACAATTTGCCCACCCAGGGACTCTGAAGGGGAAGATGACCACCATTTATTGAGTGCTCACTAAGACACCATTCTAAACACCTTATGTGGATTGTCTTTTACTATTCATAATACTATTCATAATACCTACTGTGAGGTAGGTACTATCGTTATCCCCATTTTGCAGATAAGGAAACTGTGGCATAGGAAGACTGAGTAGCTTGTCCAAGATCTCACAACCAAGAAGTAGTAGAACTTGCATGTGAATCGCAGACTATCTAGCTCTCAAGCCCATGTTCTTACCCACTGTGTGCTATTCCCTATCTCCTGGACAGTGAGATTTCTAGCCTCGTGACCCACACAGTGTCCGTTGCAGTGCTCTGCCCCAGGCTGGGCAGGTAGTAATTGCTCAGTAAAATGAACAGAGTCAGAGTCAGCAATCTGGGTTAGAGGGGCAGGGGGCCTAGTCCAGTTTCTCACATGTAGTAAACCCATCCATTGTCGTTGAGTTGACTCTGACTGATAGCGACCCTATAGGTCAGAGTAGAACTGCCCCATAGGGTTTCCAAGGCTGTAATCTTGGAAGCAGACTGTCACATCTTTCTCCTGTGAAGTGGCTGGTGGGTTCAAACTACTGACTTTTCAGTTAGCAGCCAAGAACTTAAGCCCTGTGCCACCAGGACTCTTTCGGCACATGGTAAGCCCTTATAAATGTCTGGCGACTGATGAAAGGATGCACAAGCACCATTTGGTGCAGAGAGCCCTGGACTGGCAGGGTGGGTGAACTTTTCTTTCTGCCACATAGAATGTTTATAAAAGAGGGAATAAAAGCATTGCCTTCTTGAACGTTAAGACAAAGCATTGGATGACCACTGAGTCCCCTTCTAGAATTTAATCATTGTATTTTTCCCTTCCATTTATCTACACATTCCTTCATCCACCCATCTATCATCAACAAAAACCAATTACTAATGGTGTTAGGCGATGAGTTTAAAAAGGCAAACAAGGCATATCCCTGCCCCACTCAGCTCACAGTCAGATGGAAGAGACATTTACAGCCTATGTGAACAATAGTGATAAGAAGAGCCACAGCACTTTGGGGGCTTGAAGGATGCTCATAACACAGACTTGGGAGGGTGCAACAGAGCCGGCTTCCTGGAGAAGGTGATCCTGAAGCTGAGATTCCGAGATAATGGGAGGCAGGAGCCAGGCGAGGGGCAGGGAAAGGAAGACTCTTCTAGAGTACCACAAGCAGCATGTACTGAGGTTGGGAAGGTGGGACCACGGCTGCAGGATCTGCCAGGAGCTGCCTGTGTGACCTGGGGCAAGTGTTTTCCTTGCTCCATGCCTCAGTTTCCCGCTGTGTAGAATGAGGAGGTTGCTGGTGTTCTCTCAGGTATGTTCCTGAATCCTGTCCCTTCAGTCCAACACCCTGTTACTCCATTCTGCATTGTAGGAAATGTGGCAGAAACTTTTTTCCATCTGAGTCCAGGAAGCCACAATTTTTGCTAGTCTATCCTAGTGGTTGAAGATCCAGCCTGCTAAAAACTTTCTATAAGTCCTTGGACCATTAGGCAACCTCTGTCTGGCCCGCACAAGTCAGAGAGACACTTCCTAGGGGAGGTCTCGGTCTGACTCCCCAGACGTTCCAGCTGGGCCCCGCTGCCCTTCCTCACCCGCCTCCTCCTGTTGCAGATGCCAAGGGGCTGAGCGACCCGGGCAAGATCAAGAGGCTACGTTCCCAGGTGCAGGTGAGCCTGGAGGACTACATCAACGACCGGCAGTACGACTCGCGCGGCCGCTTTGGTGAGCTGCTGCTGCTGTTGCCCACGCTGCAGAGCATCACCTGGCAGATGATCGAGCAGATCCAGTTCATCAAGCTCTTCGGCATGGCCAAGATTGACAACCTGCTGCAGGAGATGCTGCTGGGAGGTCCGTGCCAGCCCCAGGAGGGCCTGAGAGGTGGGCAGCAGGGGCAGGAGACATGCGTTGTTCACATTTGGACTCACCTCCTACTTCTATCACTTGCCTTGGGCAAGCCACTTCACCTTTCCAAGCCTCAGTTTCCTCATTTGAGAAGTGGGGACAATGGTCTACTGAGGATCTACCATTGCCTGTCACTGTTCTAAGTGCTAGAGATTCAGCAAAGAACAAGATCTCTGACCTCCTAGAGGCTGTGTGTGTGTGTGTGTGTGTGTGTAAGGGCTATGGAAATACATAGTCACCAAGTATGTAATAAGCAAGATAACTACAGATTTTTAAATAACAGGCAACATGATTGAAAAAAAAAAAAAAAACCTCACTGCCAGAGAGTCGATTCTGACTCATAGCAACCCTCTTTGGGTTTCCGAGGCGGTATTTCTACAGAAGTACATTGCCCTATCTTCCTTCTGTGGAGTGGCTGGTGGGTTTGAACCAGCAGCTTTCTGGTTAGCACTCAAATGCCTTAGGCACTATGCCACCAGAGCAGGAAATATGATAGAGGGTAACTAACTGAAAAGGGGACTCTTTCATAGGTTGGCCAAGGGAAAATTTTCTGAAGTGGTGACTTGCACTAAGACCTAAGGGATGAGAGGATATGGAACATTTAAAAGTCAAGAGCGAAATATTCCAGGCAGAAGTAACTAGTGTAAAGGCCCTGAAGCAGGGCAGTTTGTGTGTTGAGAAATAAGAAGACTGTGATGTGGGAGGAGTTGTATGAGATAAAGACGGAAAATGGGCAAAAACTAAATCATAAACATATGGGCTAGTAGGCTATGGTCAGAAATTTGGGTTTTTATTCTTATTGTAACAATTGTAAAGCAAGTGACAGTCAGACTAATGTCTTGGACAAATCATTCTGACTGTTGGATGAAGAGTGAATTTTAGGGAGGCAAGAGTGGAGGGCAGGAGACCCTTAGAATGGTACTGACCCAATAAAGGATAATGGAGGTGGAGCAGCATAAGTTTGATGATGTATTTTGGAGGAAGAATTCACAGGATTTTCTGATTGATTGGATGTGGGGAGTGAGGGAGAAGGGAACAATCAGAGATGACATCTAGAATTTTGGTCTGAGTGACAGGAATGATGGTGGAGTTATTTATCGAGATGGAAAAGATTGAGCTGTGGTGGTGGTGGTGGTGGTGTGGGAGGGACCAAGGGATCCATTACGAACATTAGTTAAAGTTTAGGATGATAGCCAAGTTGAGTTGTCAAGTTGAGATATGTTAGATATGCAAGTTGAGTTGTCAAGGAGGCAGTTGGATATAGGAATCCGTTTCTCAAACCTAGGTTCAAAGTTCAAAGTGAAAGACAGCTCCATAGCTTTTCAGTGTTTAGGAGGCAGGAGGAAAAGAGGCACCACTGAAGGGGACTGAGGAAGACTAGCCAGAGGGATAGGAGAAAAATCAGAAAAATGCAGTATTTCAGAATCCGAGAGCATGTTTTAAAGGAGGATGGAACAGTTAGTAGCGTTAAATGGCGGAGAGAGAGAGAGAGAAAGAGAGAGGGAGGGAGGGAGGAGGAGGGAGGGAGGGAGAGATCCATTGGATTTGGCAACATGGAGGTTCTTGGTAATTTTGGTAAAAGGAGAGTCAGAGCTCTGGGAATGGAAACCAGATTGGGAGTATTCCAAAGTGAGTGAGCGTGTGAGTGGAGACAGCGAGAGAGAGAGGCAGAAGTGAAGACAGCAAGCATAGACAATTCTTTGGATATATATTATTATGAGGGAGCTCTGGTGGTGTAGTGCCTAAAGCACTTGACTGCTAACCAGAAGGCTGGTGGTTCAAACCCACCAGCCACTCCTGGGAAAGAGGGTTGGGCAATCTACTTCTGTAGTGACACCGCCTCGGAAACCCAAAGAGGGGTCGCTTATGAGTCGGATTCAACTCGATGGCACACAACAACATGTTATTATGAAGGGAAGCTGTGAGGGAGTCGAGGAGGATTGCAAGAGCAGGGCTACAATGGCAGACTTGGGAATCCGGGCTGAATTAGAAGAATGAAGATAGAATGATAGATGTGTAAAGTGGGGTCAGTGACTTGACAACCTCAACCGGTTTGAAGAATTTCTACAGTGATGGTGCTAGGTTATGTGAGCTTGAAGGATAGGAGGTAGAATCAAAGTGAAGATGATTGAACTTGAGATTTTAGAGGTGATACTGTTACCGAGGACAACATGGCCAAAGGCAGGATTTCTCAACCTTGGCACTACTGACATTTGGGCCTGTATGAGCCTTCACTGTGGGGACTGTCCTGTGCATTGTGGGATGTCTATCAGACTCCCCAGCCTCCTACTACTTACTAAATACCAGTAGCATACCCGAGTTAAGACAACCAAAAATGTCATCAGACATTGCCAAATGCCCCCTGGAGGGGAAGAAATGACAGAATCACTCCTAGTTAAGAAACCCTAGTCTAGGGAGTGGCCATGGAAATAGATGGCAGAGGTGAGGCAGAGGGAAAGATAAATTCAGTCAAATAAAAAGGGTAAGGAGCTGAGAGGTCAAGGTGTCAGATGAATCATCCACGTGCATCTTTTTTTTTCCCCCAAATTGTGATTTGGGTGAAAATTTACAGAGCAAATTCACTTTCCATACAGCAGTTCACCTACACTTTTTCTCATGACGTTGACTACAATTTATCCCAATGCAACAGCTCCCCTCCCACTTCCTCCCCATAGTTACCTCTTCCTGTGTCCATCCCTCCCCACGTGCATCTTGAAGTAGCCAGAGAGATGGAAGAGGCAGAGATGAAGAAGATAGTGAACTAGAGACTGAGTGGGGAGGGGTAGAAATGATCACCAAGAGTTCTCAGATGGACTGGTCAAATGGCATGAGCATCAAAGGAGCTGGAGGAGGAGACATTTGGAAATGGTCGTAAAGAAGTAGCAATCCTCACCTTCTAGCTTTTCAATGTTTATTGAGTATTTGATGTGTGCCAGGCACATGGGGGGCTTACTGGTCAACAAGATGTAGAAGACTCTTGGAATTTAAATTAGACAAAGTATTACCTAAACAATGAATAAATAATTATAATTATTATAACTGTTCTGATGGAAGAAGATAGGGTTCAATGAGAGTATAATTGGATTATGGGTGAGACAGAGGCTATCTGAGGAAGTCACGCCTGATCACGTCCATTGCAGAGAACTGGAGGCCAGAGGTCTAAGGAGGGATAAACAGCAAGGTATGGTAAAAGGTGGTTGTGGAGATGAGTTAAGGATTGTGCTCATGTGTATGGCCTGAGCCCCTTGGTAATCTTGCTGCCACTTGATGCCCACGTCCTTCCCGTAGAATCAGAATGCCAGGATTGGCAGAATGAGACCTCACTCTCTTTGGCTCCTTTTAAGCCCAATATTTGGATATGCTTCAAGGCCCACCCACTTCCCCATTCTCATCAAAGCCTCATTGATCACTGGGGCACAATGTTTGGAGGCCATTTGAATGAGGGTGAATGGGAAGTGGAGAGGGCATGACCCCTGACTTCAGTCTCATGGGTGGGTGTGGTACAGAAAGATGGTTTCTGTTCTCTCAGAAACTCAGTGACAGAAGGACCTCCTGAGTTCCCAACAACCTCATCTGTAATCTAACAACCTTGATGATTGGGAGGCGACTTGAGCCCTGACTGACTCCCTGTGGGTGCCGCAGTGGAACTAGCACATGCTCCAAAACACTTTTGCATGTGTCTGGTTTCTTAACCAGTGACTATTGACATTTTGGGTCAGATAACTCTTTGCTGCAGAGACCGTCATGTGCACTGTAGGATATTTAGAAGTATCCCTGGCCTCCACCCTCTAAACTCTAGTAGCATCTCCCTGCCCTACCCCCCTTCTCAATTATGTCAAAAGTGTCTCCAGACATTACCAAGTATCACCTGAGGGGGTAAAATTTCTGCCAGAAGAGAGCCACTGTCATATGGCAATTCATTTACTTCTCATTCAACTCTGTGAATATGGGGTTACTACCCATCAGAGCTCTGGTAGCATAGTGCCTAAAGCACTTGACTGCTAACCGGAAGGCTGGTGGTTCAACCCCCCCAGCCACTCCTCGGAAGGAAGATGGGGCAATCTACTTCCGTAGTGATACTGCCTCAGAAACCCAAGGAGGGGTCGCTATGAGTCGGGGCCGACTCGAAGGCATATAACAACAACAACAACAACAACCCATCAGTTGTTACTGAGGTGATCAGGAGCTTGTGCTCTGTTGCCAGATAAACTTGGGCAAGAAAGTTAATCTCTCTTTGCCCTGTTGCCTCATCTGTAAGATGGAATAGTAATGGTATCTGCCACAAAGGGTTGTAGTGGTAATTAAGTTATTTGAAACACGAAAAGCTCTGTATAACAGTGCCTAGCACATGATAGGTATTCACTAGTTGTTAACTATTATTGAAACAAGGGTACTGTAGAGGCCTCTCCAGCCTTACAATTCCATTACTATCATTGTCATATCTGTGAACATGGCCTACTACCAAATCACACCCTATATGACATTATTACTCCTTGACACATTCTTTGAGTGGTTACTGGAATCCAGACACTGTGCTAGACCCTCAAGAAAAAAAAGAAAAAGAAACCTATAATGGTAATGCCTACAGACAGAGGAAGTGGCTTGTTCCCCCAAAATAGGTTACAGATAAATTACTTTGGGAATTCAGAAGAAGAAGATACTTATTTCCTATTGGAGTGGGGAAAATCAGGAGAGGTTTCCTAAAGGAGGAAATAGCAGAGCTGGGATTTGGACTTGTGGAAGGGGGAGGGGGCTAGAGACTTGATTTCTAATGGAAGCAACAGCATGAACAAGGGCATAGAGATAGAAAAGTAAAGGAAACACAAAGATGCTCTAAGTAGGGCCATTTGGCTAAAGCAGAAGAGTAAAAGACAAGGCTGAAAGAATTGTTGTTGTTGTTGTTAAGTGCCATCGAGTCGTTTCCGACTCATAGAGACCCCATGCACAGCAGAAACACTGTTTGGCTGAAAGAATAGCTGGGGCCAAATGATTGAAGGTCTTGGATGCCTAGGAGCTTTGAGAGCCATTGATTAAGTCCATTATAGTACCATGCAATCAATACACTACTGATTATAATATTTAAATAATCTCAGAGCTTCCTTATAAACTCCTTACTCCTTTCAAATCACTTTTTCTCTCTGGGTTTGTTAGATCCTCTCTATGGATAGGAATGGTAAGCCCCAGTTTACTAACCCAGGAAGAAGTACCCAATAGGCACTGTCAATGACGGATGACGAAGTAGATTGGCCATACCTGAGGAAGATGATGCCTCAAGGTCTGTGGTTCTTATCTCAGAGCCTCCATTCTAACTGAGCCCCCTCTCCACCTACAGGGTCCTCCAGTGATGCACCCCATGCCCACCATCCTCTGCACCCTCACCTGATGCAGGAACATATGGGCACCAATGTCATTGTTGCCAACACGATGCCTGCTCATCTCAGCAATGGACAGATGTGTGAGTGGCCCCGCCCTAGGGGGCAGGCAGGTGGGCAATCTGGGGGTTTACCCAGCAAGGGCTAAGGATGGGGCCTGAGGGAGGAAACAGAAGAAGGTTGGGTCTAGAAGGTGGGAACCAGGATACAGCAATGCTCAGTGCTCCAGGCTAGGGAAGGAGGGATGAGGTTGCCCATTTGTTAAGGATGTTTATTTAGTGATGCTGTCCATTGAGGTGACTGACAGTCTCTACTGAATAAAGCTGTTCTCAGAGGAGACAACCCACTGGGTGAGGTTGTTATTGGGTGAGGATGGTCATTGAATGAGAATTCCATTAGCGGTATTACCCATGATGTAAAAATAGCTCATTAAAGTAAGGCTGCTCAATTGGGGTAAGGCTATCCATTAAACAACTGGGTAAGCCCATCCATTATATAAGGATATTTGCTGAGCTAACCTCTTCTTGTAGGTAAAATCCCAGAAGAATGAGTTTGTCATTGGGTAAAGTTCTTCAAAGAGTAAGATTATCATTGGGATGAGACGGTGCACTAAAACAAGATTTCATTTCATTGGGATTGTTCTTTGAGAAAGTCATCCATTGAATGATGTTGTCATTGGGGTAATGTTTCCCATTGAGGTGAAGTTGGATAATTGGATCACAGTTACTTTCTAACTACTAATTGGAGTAAGACCAATTAGTTTCTTTTGCTAATGTTTTAAATATGAAAAAAAAAATGGTATTTTCAGAGCCACTTAGCTGACCATTGGGTTTCACTTATTGCTGCTCCTTCTCCAAAGAAAATGTATCTCTGTCACATGTCCCATTGCCTTTGGGGAGAATCAAACTTGGGCCTTGGGTTGGGAGAAGCTGCCCAGGTCTCCATCTCAGATGATGGAGAGCATAGGGTTTGGTAGGACCTGGATGAAAGGCTCTGGCCACCGAAACCATCCCAGACACAACCTTCCTGACTTCATGAAATTTTAGTCTTTATGATCTGGGACTCACAGAAGTTTGGAGCAGTAGGATAGTTTAGGAGTTATCTTGTTTAAGTCTCTCATTCTATAGATGAAACTAAGTCTCAGAGAGGAGGAAGAACTCTTCCAGGGCTCTTCATTTACTTCGTCAAAGAGCTGGAATTCTAAGCAGCCCCTGTCTCTTTGTCCCTCCAGCCACCCCTGAGACTCCACAGCCCTCCCCGCCAGGTGGCTCAGGATCTGAGCCCTATAAGCTCCTGCCGGGAGCCATCACCACAATTGTCAAGCCTCCCTCTGCCATCCCACAGCCAACCATCACCAAGCAAGAGGTCATCTAGCAAGCAGCTGGGGGTCGGGGGTTCTGCTGGCTTCCCCCACCCCCCTCAAAGAGCGCCTGGTGATCACTTGATCATAGCCAAGGAGGGCGTGACAACAGGGCCAGTCCCAGAACAGTAATGGAGAAGGACCTGAGGAGTTGGGCCGCGGGTGCATCCCATTGTAACCTTCCTCCCCTGCTCTGGATGGTGGGGTGTTGCCTTGGAGAGACCCTGATTGGAAAGTCCTCAACTGCCTCGGACAGCTTTTCTCATGCCGAAGCCACTGCCTTCACCTTCATCCATATCCACCCCCAGCTTCTTCACCACCCCAAAGGACAGCTGTCTGGAGACAATATGGAACTTTACTTAAACATAGCTCCCTTCTCCCTCATCATCTCCTAGTACTGGTCATAGTGTCCACACAGAGCCTTTGAGGCTGCATCAGATGGTAGCACCTAACCTCTCTCAGTTCTACCCCCTAACCTCCAGTGTTCCACCCCTCCACGGTCACCTTCTTAATCAGCACAAAACCAGCTGCTGTTGAGTTGATTCTGACTCATGGTAACCTCATGTGTATCAGAGTAGAGCAGTGTTCCACAGAGTTTCAATGGCTGATTTTTCAGAAGTAGATCACCAGGCCTTTCTTACAAGGCACAGGGTAGACTTGAACCTCCAACCTTCCAGTTAGCCACCAAGTGCATTAACTGTTTGAACCCCCCAATAATTCCATGTTTTCTGAAGCTACCTCTCCAGAGGCTGAGGAAGACTCCCAACCAATACCCCAGTCATTCCAGGAACATTTTTAAACACTGACTGGGGCTGTACAGTGTAGGAGACTGTTGAGAAGGAAGTCAACAGTTCCTCCTTTCACTCCACCTCATTTTCCTTCTTCAGGGACTTGGGTAAGTGTTTGAGTCATAATTACAGACCTTCAACAAGAGAAACATCCAAGGTTGACAACTGTGATAAGAACTTGGAGGGAGGGCTGGAGAGTCAGAGAAAGCATCCAGAAAGAGGCAGCTGTGCACAGGCCTTGAAGGCAGAGTAAGATTAGGGGTGGTAGAGCTGGTAATACAGGTCATTCCACATGAGGGGACGCAGCATGGGCAAAGGCTGGAGATCAGAGCATGGTGTGGGAGGAAGGTGGTGAAGAAACCAGGCTGTCTGGAGCAGAGAGGGGTTGCTGGAGAGCATGCAGGCCTTGAATATTAGACTGAAGCCTTTAGACTTGGCTTCCTAGGCCATGGGTAGCTGAGCTATCAGAAGATGAATACAGCAGTCTTGTAGAGGTTAGTAATGGCTCAGACATATCAATGATCATGCAGATGGCATGGAATCAGGTTAGGTTTTGTTCCATTATTACATAAGGTCTCCATGAGTTTGAGCCAACTCGATGGCACCTAGCAACAACAGCAGAGGTTGGTAGGTTGGAAGGGAGCAGGGAGGTCAGATGGGGGCTATGATGTAATCCAGATGAGAGTGTAAGACCTGAGCTACAGTGTGGCTTGGGAATGGAGAGAAAGGGATGGTAAACCCTCTCAGGTCAGAGTGATATTAAGGAGGAATTATCTCCCAGGGCTGTGCACTGTCTTAAGGCACTTGACATGCATCATCTCCTTTATCCTCACAATTACTACAGAAGATGAACTTGAGTTCCAAGAGGTTCAGTGATTTTTCTGGAATTCACACTGAAGTGGCAGAGTCAGGACTTGAGCCCACGTCCCCTGCCTGGATCAGAATGGGCTGAACATCCTCACTGAAAGAGCCCTCTGTCCTCACTGTGATCAAGGTGAAGGAGTTTCCACCCACTTCACCAGCCTCAGAAGCCAAAGCTTCATTCCTCCCAGGAGCCCTTATTCCTTCCAGGAATAAGATTGGTCCAAGGCTGCACCAAAATCCATTTCGGGTCCAGAATCCTGTTTGTTGATAAACATTAAGAATTCATAACTCCTGGACCCCTTTTCACTCTTCAAGTCTGGGAGAGGGACAGGGCTGGTTTCTGGGAGAAGGACCAATCTGGCCTGGTAGTCTAGGGGTGGCTGGTGGAGATGGGGGGCAGGATGATGGAGATGGGGATGTGAGAAGGGTAAGAGACCTGCCCTGAGGAGTACCACTCAGGTGATTCCTAGAAACACCAAGCAGCCAGTGCCTCACCCATGCAGAATCTTAGTGACTTTGGGGAAGTTCCAGAAAATGCCACTGGCCAGTGGGGGAAAAAAAAAAAAAAAAGATGTGTCCTGGGACTGGAGGCATGATTAGGTAGAAGAGTGAACTGTTAGTCTGACTACCTACCCCCACCCAGAGCTGACTTTTTGAGTGGATGGGAGAAGTACCCCCAGTGCCCAGAAATTCCACCATTAGTGTTAATTCCATCTTGAGAAAGAGGCATTGGAGGCAATGTATCCAAGAGAAATGTCCCCATCTTCCAGTGCTGTCAAGATTGGCTTTCCCCACTCCATCAACACAGGTCCCCTGTCCTGGGAGAGACTATTCCCTGCTCAGGCCTTTCAGTCTTCCTCAGCCAGCCCTCACTCCAATTCTCCAGATATCTCAGTCAGAAGGGCTCAGACTGGTGTGGGGCAAGGCAGGGAACCTGGAATCATTCTGATCATCATCATCACTCTTTGTTCCTCCACTCCTCAATGTTGCTTAGGCCTCTGTCATGGAAGAAAAGTTGAGACAAGAGTTTTCCATGGGAGTGAAGTGGGGTAACGGTGCCCTTTTAAGACTAGCAAGTTTCTGAGGCAGGAGGTCAGTCCTCTATCCCAAACTTCCCTTTTCCGCCTTGTGGACTCAAACATGGTTAGGGGAGTGCAGCAACATGGGCCCCACAATGCTTCCACTGAGGCACTTTCCTCTCCAGGCAGCTCTCAGGGGGCTACAGAATCCACATGGCTCTCCTAGGTGTGGAGAGAAGAATCAGAAACAGACATGCCTTGGTTTCTTGTGATGACCAAGCCAATCGCTTTGGCCAAATTGTTCCATGATCTACCCTGACTGGACTAATTGTGAAACTCACATCAAGCTGGAGAGTTCCATCAGACCAATCAGCACATTCCTGTGGGTGTGACTGTCATCAAGTTCTGTGCTGACCCTATCACTGCCGCCCAATGGGGCAAAGAAACAAAAAACATTTCTTACTCTTGTGTGTTTTAACAAAAAGTTTATAAAACAAAAATAAATGGCATGTATGTTTTCTAACTCCTGGATCACTGTCTTTTCTACCTTTCAGATGTTAGAAATAAGAATGAGACTAGTCATGTAATCCTTTACAGTGTTAAAAAAAAAAAAAAAAAAATTGCTCTCCCATCCAGTACTGTTTTTTAATCTTCACATCAAGAGGTAAGAAGCTTAGACATTATTATTAGCCCTCATTTTATACATGAGGAGACTGGGGCCTGGGGGAAGTTACTTTCCTTGGGATGATGATGTGGGAACTAACCCTGGTCTCTTGTCTCCAAGTACTGGGAATGTGGAGAGAGCAAAGATTGATCCTCCCTCCTGAAGAGGAGTGACGTCAAGGAGAAAGTGATGGAAGGATCTGGGAGAATAGCAAGAAGGCCCTAGGGTTATCACCTACCATCAGAGTCCAAGATGGAGTCCTAGGTCAACCATGCTCACCTGCCAGTGCTAGCAGACAAATTAGCAAGGGGAGATTTCATAAAACAAGTGTTTTTTTAAAAAATAATGACCAGCCATGTCTGTAGTCACTTTGGTCATTCCCCCTGCTAAACTATATGGGTGGCATTGTGCCTTGACCATCAGAGACCAAAACTTTACCTTCATTTGGTGGTGTGCTAGAGCCAACTCATGAGAGCAGGTTGTTACTTTACTTCTCAATTCTTGTGTTCTGTGATGTCATGTTAATAGCAATGGTGGGAACATTTATGTCACTAACAATGACCAACACTACAAATCATGACCTTTTCCCTAAATACTCACCAGCATACCGGAGCATTCATTAATGTGTACATGGAAGCTTGCTGATGGATGGACTGTGGGATACCTGTGGGACACACTGCCTCCAATATTCTGGATACAATGACATTCAGAAGTAAGGATAGAATATGATGGCCCTAAACTCTTCTGAAAGGGAGGGGAGAAGAGTTCTAGTCTGGTAGTTAGGCATCTTGGCAATCAATGTAACCTTGGGCAGGTCACTCTACCTCTTTTTACAGTGTCATCTATAAAATGGGAATGTTACCTCCCCCCGAGGGTGTTGTCAGGATTAAATTGAATGACATAATGCTAACTGTAAGAACTACCATGCATATGAGGTACACAAAGTGCCACCCCAGTTCCCTGCACATACTGGGACTCAATGAACATGGACTCTTTCCCCAGTCCCTTACAAATGACAGGCTAACCATGACTTTCTCCAGCCTCAAGAGCACCCATTAGCTTCCTGCCTGACCCTGAGGCTATTCCCATTTTACCTTGTTGCTTCAGCACCAGGAAATGTTTTCCATAATGTTGCAATGGAGGCCTTGTCCATGCTGTCACCAGCATGGATGTGGGGTGCAGGCCAGAGGAGGTTATTACAGTCCTAGAGCATACTTAATAAATCCATATCAAAACCATAAACCCAGGGCTGCTATAAATTCCTCTGGCCTTGGCTCTTCCACCTCATCAGCCCTTTGCCCTAGTTAATCTCAAATCTCAGCGTGGGTGGCCAGAGCTTCAAGTTTGATTTCCATTTCAGTTGCAAAACAACATCAGCTTGGGTGACAAACAGAAAATTTCACTATCCCCATTTTAGAGATGATGAAACCTAGGTTCAGAGAGGTGAAGGGATTTGTCTTAGTTGACATAGCTGGTGAGTGGTTGATCCAGAACTTGAAATCATGCTTGTTCTACCAACCCATGTGGGCTGATTAAGAATTGGGAATTCTGGTAAGATCTCTTCCTCTTGGCCCCCTACAAGGTTGTTGCCCCAACCATGCTACTGGAAACTTCTTATTCCATCATCCCAAATGCAGCCTCATGGCTAAGAGTCAAGACCAGAAGTAGAAGGGGCGCTGGGTGAGAGGCGTCTTGAAGATCCAAAGGCAGTTCCATGAAGCATGAATGACCTGTCATCCCAGATTGGTGGGATTGCCCTACTTCCTCCTTTGTAGAACCTAGATCACCTTTGGTCTACATTTCTTAA